TGGCTGGTCAGAGATTCCTGTTAAGATTATTTCAGAAAAAAATATTTCCTACTGCTTGTCCTAGTTCTAAATGAGAAATGAAGACTAAGCCAAATAAAATGAGCGATTCTTAGAGCTGAAAGGGAAAGATGGGCTTTTCCGACTCCCAGTATAATTTAAATCCGTTTGTTTATTCAACAGATTTGTTTTAGAATCTATTGTGTGCTGAATGCAATGGATTCCAGTGATGGAGAGAAGTTAGCTTCTTAAATCTCTGAAAAATTGCTCATAATTCCTGAAGACAATTGTTAACGAGTGCCTCAAGGAGGTACTGTCAGGGTGACCTGGAACCTGAGACACTGTTCTGGTTAGATGGTGTTAAGGGACTGTCACTGTACTCCTGTGGACAGTTTAGGTCATCCAGGCACACATATTATTTCAAATGTTTACCATCTGCACTGGAGTTTTCTAGAGGCACTGGACCCATAGGATGTATGCGTAGTGTAAAAGAGTTGTTAGGTTGGGTTATATGGCAGAAGCTAGGTAACAAGGGCCACCTGCATGCTGGAGAAGCTGCTCAGTCCCTGAATCTAGAGGCCTTGGCAGTCCCAATGTGATGGTCCCTGCAGAGCTGCTGAGGTTGAAGAAGCTTTGATGTCAGCCACGGACTCACTCGGGAAGAAGCAGAAGCAGGCAGCCACTTTGAGGATGAGTGTCTCCCCTCAACCCTTTCAGGAAACAGTGCCATGGACAGGCCCAGAGTTATGTCCCCTAAGTGACTCTAAATCCCATCAAATTGATGATCCAGACAGAACATCACACTTCCATGCTACCACTTTCTCTGAACTGAGGCCTTCTTTGTACTTTTCCTCTAAAGGTTGAAATCTCAGCTGCTGAAGGTGTCAGTTGACTGGGTCACTGGGGGACTGACTTGTTCTTTGGTGTATAGTACTTTACATTGTAGGTACATGAATAACTTCTTTTCCAAGAATTTACTTTATTTTTCTTTAAACAAAAGTCATGCTGTCTTTTTTTTAGTCTCCCATGTCATCATAAATGAGTGGCTTTCATTAGAAGCACACTAGAGACTATGGCTAATTGTGAGTATTTGCCCTAATGAAACTGGTACCCACATATTCCCATGTAGCACAGGCAGCCTGGAGCTGTCAAGTCTTCTAATATTTTAAACTAAATTTGAAGTATTTGTATACAAATATCTTTAAAAAATATTAGCTGATTAAAAAAGAAAAGATGTATAAAGATGAAAAGAAACTGTTTATGGGGGGAGCCTGGCCTGGGAGATTTTGTTTCTAATGTAATTAAATCTTGCTTTCTTCCTTGGGTAGACTTAGAGTAAGTAAGTGCATTGTCTCAGCGTTTCATTCATCCATCCATCTGTCCATCCATCATCTACTACAATATTTACTGTGTAACAACCATGAGTGACACTTGCTCTAGACACTGGAGAGCAACATTGTAAGCTCCACAAACATCATGTCCCTTGCACACTGTTCACCATCCCTCTCTAGCTTGAGCATCCCCCATGTGCCCAAACCCACCTTCCTGAGACTCCATTTCAGAGGACCCCCACCATCCTGGAACTCCCTCGTGCAGGTGACCCCAGTGTCTAAGATGCTCTCTCAGCCCTGCTGCCCCACATTGGGTACCATCTGCCTTGCCTCTCTTTCCACTTGGAGAACATTTCCCTCGTTGAGAGCTCTGACCTGGTAGGTCCTTCCATTGCCAGAGCTCTGCCACTATTGATGTTCTGTGCATGTTCATTTCTTCTTCCCACTACTCTGTTAACCCTTTAAGAGTAGACACCGTATCTCTTGTTGTCTCTCTGGGCTCTGCCTCATGTGGTCAGCACCTAGCAAATTTTGTTGAATAAACTGAAATGATGAACTGTTGAGTTCTGTGGCTCTTTTTCTCTCTGTTGGATTTGTCCCTGCTTTGGTGGCTGGAGAACATTAACTTTTTCAGGTGAGGGTAACAAATCCCTCTGGGCCATAGGATATATACTGTTCTAATCTGGATGCAAGTATTTTGCTCTTTTTTGTACCCAGTGTGTTTTAGCCCTCAGCATAGTGTTGACATGAACAGTTGTGGCCACTTTGCCCCTGAATCTCAGTGAGTCTTCCAGTGTCCCCTTCCCCTTCTTAGTGCAGACAGTGTGTAATCTTTGTAAGTGTGGATTCTGTAGTTACACTGAGCTATTGGCAGTGGCATTGGGCAGATCAGAGATAACACCAGGGCACTGTGACAGGCACTGGAGATCTCAGTCCTGGAGGACATTGATGTATTAGTCTCCACTCTGTATTGGCTGCAAATCCATCCTGGGCTGTCATGTATGCAGGCAGACTTCAAGATATTTTGATGGATGTCTCTGTTAAGACATAGATGCAGAGCATCGATCACAGCCCCTCTTCTATTAAATTATGAAACTTAATCAGTTAACTCCCTTTCTTCTGTACACTCATATTGGCTTCCAGAATCAGAGACTCAGCTCTCTGCTCCCAGATAGGTTATGTTTGAAAATTTTGTTAGCATTTTGTCTCAAGCTTATGTACCTCTATCTTTTTACACATTCTAGATCTTGCTATTTTATAAATAACATTATGAGACGTGTGTGTAAATATGTTTTTGGAAGTCCAAGATTGATGCCAGGAATCAGTCATCCTTAGTTCATTCTTCTACTTTATCGATTGAGACCCTGTCTCAGTCAAACCTAGATACCATGACCTGCACTGCTCCAGTCCTGGAACCCTGATTATGAGCAGTGAGGGAATGAAGAAAGGACAGATACACAGATGTGGGTATAGGAAAGCTGGGATCAGAGGGATGGAAGGCATCTACCACCCCTGGCTACCCAGAACCTCAGTGTGCTTATTAGGTATAGCACACTGTCTCTGTAGGGGAAGTCTCTGTAGGTGAACATCACTTGGGTAAGGCTTTGCCATTCCCATGGGGCTGAGGCATTGGGGTCCTTGGCATGGCCATGCCCATGTCAACAATACACATCCACTCAGGGAGTCCTCTGCTCCTTATATACTCAGAGCTCACCAGAATGGCTAGTCTTGTTAGCCTGTTTGCTCTGGGGACTCCCATCTCCACTTGCTTACAATTCCAGAGGGTACAGTCTACAGTGGTGGGGAAAGCATGGTAGCAAAATGGCTGGAACAGGAAGTAAAGGGAGGCTATAAACCCTCAAATCCTTCTTCCAGTCAAGTACTTCCTCTAGCAAGGCTACACCTCCTCACCATAACCTCCTCAAACAGTGCCACCAACAGGGGACACAAAGCTATGGGAGTGATATTTCTCAAACCAACACAACCAGTAACTGTGGTGTTTAGATTCATGTGCCCAAATGAAGTTTGGGATATTTAGTTTTGAAGGTCCAAACTGTGCATAAATCAAGCCAGCTGTTTAGAACCCACATATGTCATCTCTAAGAGTGACTTGTACATTTTTGATTGGTTGTTTAGACAAAGAGGGTGGTTTTGTAAGAGGGGCAGGTCAAGAGCACTGGGATAAAGACCTGGGATTGCTGTTTTGGTGTGATGGACTGGAGGGCAGCCAGCTGTGGGCCATCAAACTACTTATTGTGTGCATACTGCCCTGCATAAGAGTACTTTTTTGTTTGGGTTTTTGAGAAGGGGCTTACTTCTGTAGCCTGCCCTGGTCTCAAATTCACACCAGTCCTCTTTCCATAACTATCCTAGTGCTGAGATTACCAGTTTGTGCCACCAAGCCCAGCAAGAGGTTTTGTTTGGGAATTTTTTTTTTTCTCCTATAATTCTACATCAGCAGTTCTAGTGGGTTGCGACCCATTTGGTCAAATGACCCTTCCACAGGGGTCACCTAAGACCATGGGAAAACACAGATATTTACGCTACAATGCACAACAGTAGCAAAATTACAGTTATGAAGTAGCAAGGAAAGTCACCACAACACGAGGAACTGTATTAAAGTGTGGCAGCATTAGGAAGGTTGAGAACCACTGCTCTACAGACTTAGTTGGGAACATTGTATCCTGTTATTAAAGGGGACCTTTAGATGTATCTGCTCTGTGTTTGGGTGCCATTTTTTTTATGATGAGCACCTGATTTCCCTTCTGTTTGTGATTCTCTTTTAGTTGGCTTATCATAGTGTTAACAATCAGATTCTCAGATCAGTGGGAGCTTGTGTTAAAAAACAAACCCTGGCCATCCAGACGGCTCAGTGGATAAAGGCTTGCTGCCAAGCCTGATGACCTGAGTTTGATCCTGGAGGCCCACATGGTGGAAAGAGAGAACTTTCATCTTTCTTTGGGAAAGAAAGACTCCAGTAGGTTGTCTTCTCACCTCCACATGTGCACAGTGGCATACATGTGTGAACACATGCACCTACCCTCCCCATTACCCAACCCCAGACGTGCACATACAAAATAAATAAACACTAAGAAAAACCCTGCATACACCGGAACCTCACTTGAGTTTGCCCTTTGTGTTGTCTTAGCTGCAGCTTAGAGTAACCAGCATTGCTAACGCCCTGTGTGCGGTGGCAATGAGACTCAGCTTCCAGATGTAGGACCTGGAAATGTGGTTCCTGGTGGGACCGTGGCTGAGAGTACACGTTCATGCCTGGTTTGTCCTGGCTGAGATACAGTTGCAGCCTCCTGGTTTCTGTTCATCTCCAGGGGCCAAGGCTTTGACACCAGCACTTGGGACCCTCCCCTGGGCTCGAAGTAAATGCAAGAATAATAGGAAGGGAGGGCTTTGGTGAGTCATGGAGTGATGCCCGTCTATTTGCCTCCTTGAGAGGTCCAAGTTCCCTGAATAGCAGTGTGCTGTCTCTGCATTGATTTCTGTAGATGAGCCAGTTCTGAGATAGGAAAAAACTGGACCGTCCACAAGCATAAAGTGTTGAGAGTCCCTGGAAGCTATTATCCAATAGCTTGTCTTCTTAAATGATGGATGGATCTCTTGTGCTCATATTGTGATTATGGCTCGTACAGACTGCTCTATTTTTAATTTTTACAGGCTAAACATATTTCTGACTGGCATGGACCCTTTCTACTTTCATGTGGTGAATGTCATTCTACACTGCCTGGTGACCCTCGTGCTGATGTATACCTGTGATAAAACAGTCTTCAAGAATCGTGGACTGGCTTTTGTCACAGCCCTGCTGTTTGCAGTGCACCCGGTCCACACTGAGGCGGTGAGTATAATGGGCGCTATGAAATAATGACCACTAGCAGCCAAACGTCTGTCTGCATATATCAGCTAAACCAGTCATTTCTCCCCTTTCAAATCTCATGACTTGAAAGACCCATGTCATGTTTAGCTTGACCTCTGTGCACTTCTGCTTGCCAATGCTGCTTTTAGAATGTTCATATCGGCTCTGCCCAGCATTCAGTTGCTTCTTTTCACAGGGGCTGTGATTATTATAAGAGGTAAAGGATACTTCCAATTTTTTATTTGCAAAAAATTTAAATCCTGTGTGCTTTTAGATAGCAGAGGGCATTATGAAAACTCTACCACAATGTCACCATCCCTGCTCTGCTTCATGCCTGTGTTTATGTTACGAAACTACAGGTGCTGGAGGAAGAAAGCTAGAGAAAGATGACATTCTCCCAAGTTACAAGGATGGACTTAGAAATTGTTTTCTGAGTTACTCAATAAGAAGTTTACTAGTTTTGTGTGAGGAAGACTTTGTTCAGAAGGTATTGCTTTTGGATCTGTGGCTCTTTTAAGAGGGTTTGATTCATCATGTACCAGACGAGATGGTGTCATGAAGCCACTGTGTCAAGTCTTAGTAGCAGTGGCTGATTTCTTTTATATGTGTTGCTATGGGTAGGTAAAAGCTTTCTGACGGGGCACAGGCACCAAGGTTTTCAGAGAATGAAGCCTTCCAGTAGGTGATAGGCACTATGGCTTCCAAAGAATGGCTTGTGGAGCCTCTGCTGGCACCTGGATGCTTTCTTGAAGATCTACCCAAGAGCACACTTTTGGTAAAGATGCCACATTAGGTCTCTTCTGGAGTTGTTCTCATCTGTCCTTCTCTCATTTGGATGAGGAATGCTCATGCACTGTGATCTGACCGTGTCCCAGCAGTGCACACCTCTGGGACCCCTGCAAAGGACAGTTTGATGTGTGGGTGTTGCGATGCCTCTGTAGAGAAGGACTTCCCGGCTATGCCTATATCCATGAAGAATACAACCTGGTGTTAGAGGTACTGGGTGGTACTCTGTGTTAAAGTTCTGAGTCAGAAGTGAAATAGTGTCCACAGGGATTCATGGAATGTTTATTTGAACTGGCATGAGAAGTCTGATTCAATTAATTGATATTACTGTGAGGACTGGTCTTGCCAATTTGGCATATGATGACTATGTTTTCATGAGCAGAATTCTAAATCCCTGAGCTTGAGGTTTGACAAATTGTGTGTGTGTGTGTGTGTGTGTGTGTTAGACTGGGCAAAGTTCCTATAAGTGGAAGAGTTTGACGTGTAAGTAACAGTCCTCCAGGGTGTCTTGGTAAAGCTGTTTACTATACTTCTGTGAAATGGTTACAGTGAGAGGAGAGTTTGATGGCAGATTGCTATAAAGACTAATGTACTTACATTCATTGCTTCTGTCCAAATTCAAGTCAAACATGGCTGACTTGTTAGATTGTGGATCATAAAACATTACATGAGATGGTGGATCCCTAAGTGGTAATTGTCTCTGACTTTGGAGTTCAGAGCATTAAGCCATGCCTATAGCACACATCCTTCCATTCTCGTGCATGTGAACCACCTAAAAGGTGGAAATCAGACTTGGAATTGTGTTGCACACTATCTTAATCTTCTACAAAAAGATAGACTAGCCACAGATACCAAAACCAGCCACATGTAATAACATGTACACCTTCGTGTTTAGTGCTTAACATTTTTCTACTTTCATCATGATGCTAATTATAACCAAAATACTAATACATAATTAAAATATAATATGTAGAGATTTATGATTATCCCAGGAAATTTAAAAGATAATTAAGGACCATAGATAGATAGATAGAGCTCTATGGTAGAGTGATTGCCCAGTGTGTATGAAACCCTGAGTTCCATGTCTTGCAGCATACACGCACCAAAAGAATCCATATGCATTTTCAATAGAGAGGTAATCTGATAAATAAAATATGTTTAAACATTAGTCTGCAATGCATCAAGAGGAAATACTGAAGGGGAATAGCGCTGAAGAAGTTCACAGGAAGAGAAGGCTCCAGAGGTGTCCACTGAAAGAAAGCTCTCCCTAGCAAGTGTGATGGCCCAGGCCAGTGATCTCAGCACTTGAGAAGTGGAGGCAGGGAGATCAGGAGTTCACAGTCATCCTGGGTTATGTAGTACAGAGTTCTAAGCCTACCTAGGGTACATGAAATGCTGTCTCAACAAACTAAGAAAAGAAAATAATTAAACACCCCTTTGTTTAGGCAGAAGATGAGGCAGCTGGAGCTGCTCAGGCCCCCTTGGGTATAATAAAGCCTAATTTAAAAATGTCAGTATTTATGGTATATGAGAGGTTAGATTCTTTTAGTATTTAAAAGTATGATTATCAATTTTATGTATGAACCTAAGTAGATGAGAAATGCACCTAACTTTCCAATGGACTTTGTGGACATGATATGAAGGAAAATAACCAAAGATTTCTGTTCCTGGCAGTGTTGGTCATTTTGAATGCCAGGATGATATTATAATTTTGACAATTTGTGAATTACAGTCCCAGATCTGTACTGTGCTTAAGGACAGTTACTGCAGGAAAAACCAACCGATTGTGTGGTTGGAGTTTTAATTCAGCGACTGAGGAGAGAGAGTGCACATGCCAGGCAACCTTGGGCAGTGTGATCACGAGCTGACAGAGGTTAAGATGGATTCTAAAAAAACAGGCAAATCCTATTAGCAGAATGACCTTTAGAAAGGGGTTTCCAGGGGCTTTTGTGCTAATAAAAAAGTCCATAGTAACACAATTAAAGAGGCAGAGGTGTTGAAGAGCTGGGCCGTTATTTGGAAAAGGATACTGGGAAGGTACTTGTTTTTGCAAGATGAAGGAGCTGTGAAGAAGAGGTGAACAAGCCTGACCCAACGTACCATTTACACTACAGAGCGAAATGGAGTCCCTATTTAATTATAGATTGAAGCTCGGGTTTCTGGGGAGGAGGACAGAGAGACAGGAGAAGCAATGCACTTCATAGACAATTAGTGATAAATTATTAAACATGCACAGTAAGACACGGGGGTCTTGGGAAATCACTCATCTTTGTCAAAAAAGACTGAAAATGGGACCATATGTCACATTGTTCCAGGAAGGATGGAAAATTTAAATTTGGGGGTGGAATTTGGTTTAGAAGCATCGATATGATTGTGTGTCAGCATGCTGATGTGGCTTGCTTTATAAGTGAGACAGTTAACAAATAGCTAACGAGTCTAGGCTTGTAGGTGCCAGGAGATTGTAGGGATAGGGAGCAGAGTTCCTCCCCTGGTTTATACACAAGCTCACAGAAAGCCCGAGACTAGACACACAAATCTGTGTAAGAGAAACAGGGGAGAAAAGTTAGTTCACGTTTAAGCTCGTGGGACACATTGGTTAATCTTATCTTTCCGCTAACATTTGAATGAATGCATATGGTGACAGTGGGGTAGTGTCCTGCAGGGCAGGGAGTGAAGGGGACTAGACTACCTCATTTAAGCCCTGGAGATTCTTGGGCAGATCTTGGGATATTTTTGGGCAGGTTTCCTAATGTTGTATTTCTTTGAAAATTTATGCCTTTCTGAATTCTGAATCATGAAAAATATTGGGGAAATTATTGTGATTCTCCTATGAAAATTTAAATTTGGGCATCATAGAGATTGGTTTGCAGAAGTGAAAGCAAGATCAGGCACAAAGAGTTTGAAGATTAAAGCCAGCATTTCTAGAATCTGAACAGGAGGGCTCAGGAAAAGATTGGCTCTGATCTAATCAGTTGGTCTGGCTCTTAGCCTTTGTCACATGTTTCGTCCACGTTCCTGGCCTTGTCTGATGCTAATGGAGCTCATTCTTGCAGATAAAACAAATATTTGTAACTCTATACAGAGTCTACTTGATATAAACCTTGTCAATAGCATTCCTAAAATAACACATTATAACCTGAAGGCAAATGAAGTTCTAATGGGCATTTTCCACCTGTGGTTTTGTTATCCTGGCTGACAGGTCCACATGCCCATTAGAGCTCAGACACCCCTAACCTAAAAATCTCAAATTCCAAATTCTCCAAAGCCTGACACTTTTTTACAAGCGGGAAATTCCTTATCTGACCTCACAAGACAGGTCGCAACTGAAACATGGCAATGCTAAAAATATTGTATAAGTTCACCCTCAGACTGTGTGTATAAAGTATAAAGAAATATAGGTGAATTTTTTTGTGTTTAGTCTTAGGTCCCATCCCCAAAACACCTTATTGCTTGTGCATGAAGATATTCTAAAATAAAAAAAAAATAAAAATTAAAAAATACAAACTCTGAGACATTTTTGGTGTCAAGCATTTGGGGTATGAGAGACTCATCTGTTTTAGATTCTATTCAGTTGTGTTCACTAGCACTTTCCAGTGTGTTAACAGGGTTTTAACAAAACAGCCCCAAGTGATGAAGGCCTGAAGCTTGTGGCTGAGAAATGTGTATGTATTTCTACTCACCACGAGTGGCCCGACTGCTCCTTTATGTCCGGACATGGCAGGTTCATCCCCATTACCATAGCTAGCCTCACCTCCTCACCCTTACACCTCTGCTGCGTGTGGTTCTCAGCGTTCGCTCCATTGACTGCACATGCGCCGTCACTTCTGCCTCCCCTTCCAGAACGGCCGCCTCAGGGTCTCCTACCCTCCAAGAGGAATGAGTGGGAGTGCCTTTTCTGGCTGCAGGTCATGTTCCCCAGTCTTAAACTCCCAAAATCCTCCTTGACTCTTCTTTACCTCTCGGATTGCAGAGCTGCCCTTCTGTGATGCTTCCCAGATCCTGTAGCCAGAACCTTTTTCTTTTCTGGCAACAACTGCTCATTGTGATAGATGTGGCCTTGTGTCTGAATGTAAAAAAGAAATAAAAAGGAAAAAGCTCAAGGGGTACAAGAGTAGGCATTTAATATGTACATTGTGGTTTAGCCTCTTGAGCAGCCTGTTAGCATCAGCACTAACACTGTCACACCCTCTCTGAACTGACTCTACATTATGATGATGTTGTTGAGGTGAGGTCTTACTGTGTAGCCCAGGCAGGTCTTGAACTCGTGACCTTCCTGTCTCAGCCTTCCAGTGCAGGGATGACAGGCAGGAGTCAGCATACCCAGTTAGTATATTCTTTATGTCTTGGTGTATTCAACTGGCACAGTCTTCTGTTCTTTCCAGATTGGCTCAGAGTGAGGAGCAGGGTTTCAAGACACTTTGCAAGTTCCAGTTCTGCTTGTGTAGCGTGTGACTTCTGTACTCCACCTTGCTATACTCAGAATCCGCTTGCAAGGCTTGCTGTTGGCCACATCATCTGTCTGGGATGAGTATCCCTTTAGGCTTTGCCCCAGGGCTTCATGGCAGGCTGGGTGGGCTGTCTTCTTAACCTTCTTGAGTGTATGCTGAGTTAAATGTTCTAAGACAGCAGTGGTCACTGAGTCCATCTGAGTCTCAATGGGACGTGCACAGTCCTTGCTCAGCCTGAATCTGAACTCTTATACCTTTGTGCACACTGCCTACCTCCTCAGAGTCACACACCTTCTCTGATATGGCTCTCAAGCTCCTTATAGATCAGCCAGTTAATGAACACCGTGTGTGGTTCAGGCAGCTAGGTCACAGCTTTCGCTCTGTGCCCTTGCGGTTCTTGGTCTGTGTCCAGGTTTCTCATGGTATAGGAAGGATTTGAAATTTTCCCAGAATGTGACCTGCTCTGATTTTAGATTTTTAACTGATAGACACACTAAGCTACCCAATAAAGCTAAATAAAGATATCATGTAGGATAGTTTCTATAAACCACACAGGAAGTGCTACATTGGACGTAAGAGTTTCACAAAACTTTCTCCAAAATCTTCACATGTCACCTCATTGGCAACAGCAGTCAGGTGTTATCATATGAGATAACAAACTGGGGTCTCAGTTGGGTTTCAGAAGTCAGGTGATCTTCCACACCCACACCATGGCCTCTCATGTGACTGTACAGTGTGCTCATAACATAGTATGTTAGTGGTTCAGATCCCCTGAACATTATTTTCTCTTCACATTGGCTGATTCTACAGTGCACATGGACCTGGGGTCTTCTCCGACATGGGTGACAATGTTTCCTGTGCCCGAGAGATCAGCCTTACTCATCTCCCATGTAAACAGCTCCTGGCCCAGCTCTTCCTGAGACATTGTGTTGTTCAGTTTTTGTCAACTTGACTCAAGCTAGAGTCATCTGAGAAGAGGGAACCTCTGTTAACAAAACGCCCCCATAAGTTTGGCCCGAAGGCAAGCCATTTTCTTGATAGATGATTAACGTGGAAGGGCCCCGCACACTGGGTGCAGTGACATCCTTGGGCAGGGTCCTGGGTGGTGTAAGAAACAAGCCATGGAGAGCAAGCCAGAAAGCAGCATTTCCCGTGGCCACTATTTCATTTCCTGCCTCCAGGTTCCTCCTTGAGGTCTGCTGTAAAGGGAAACAAACCTTCCCTCCTCAGGTTTCTTTTGGTCAGGGTCCCTTGTCACAGCAATAGAAAGCGAACTAGAACAGAAATATTTTTAAAACTATGTCCCTGTTTCTCCTTTACAATTTTATATCTTGTATCTTAAAAAACAAAGAGAAACATGCACGAGCGTGCATGCGTGCGCGCGCGCGCGCACACACACACACACACCGTACAGACACAATAATGTTGGTTTGTAAAGCATCCCTCATCGCCCCTGCATGCCCATCCAGCTTCTCAAGCAGCACTTCAAGTTAATGCTCAGCACTTAATGCTTACACTGCTCTGTGGTCTTGATCAAGGCTCACTGAGTTTAACTTTTGCTGGCTCTGTGTTGTCGTTCCTCTCTTCCTCCCTCTCTACAAAAATATTGTTTGTTTTCTGAAGCAGTTAGAGAAGGCTGCATAATTCATGCTCCTCCACACATCAATAATTCAGTTGTGTATTTCCTAACACGGAGAGAATTATTCATGGTTTCATCTCTTTCAGTCCTGAACACTGTCTTTCTATCATATATTATATAAATTTCAATATGAGTTTATATTAAAATGTATGTAGTAGAAAATGTTTTTAATATATTTGAGTGCAACTTATAAATGTTATATAAATATATACTATATAATTCATAACACAAATACTTCTTAGAGGCACAGCATATTAAAATGTATGCCTTGAAAATAAAAGTAATATATATCATATCTAAATAAATAATACATACTTTAAGTGTATAAAATTTAATATCATTATCAGTATATAATGCACATATATGTACACTAGACCTATAAGTTTATGATTTTCTATTATAATAAGTTATAAGTAGTAACATAATTAGGAGTCATAATAAGTAAAAATATAATGTAACACAAATGTAATGCAGATCTTAATGCAGATTAATATGCTATAATTTAAAGTATGTATTTATGTTTAGTAACATGTTTACATCCTCCTTCTTATGGATTGTGTCTCTCCTTGAATTTGTCTGATTTTTCTCATGCATGTGATTAGTTGTATATCCTTGGCTAGAATAGGCCTGCATGGTGTTTTTGTCGTGTCTTTGAAGATAATTTTCATTTTGATTTCCTGGCGGATGTGGTGTGCCACCTTAATACATCCTCTCCATAGTGTCTTCACTCTTTTATTTTTATGAAAATTAAGTTGGTGAGGAAATGTTTTGAAGTCATGTAGATACCTTGCATCTCAAAAAACTTTCATGTCCTAGAGTTAGAGTTACCATCTGTTATTCTCTTGTTTATGTTCGTTTTCGTGGTGCTGAGGATCTAACCCTGGGCCTTGGGTTCTCTGGATAAGAGTGCTTCACTGCTGAGTTACCCTCCCAGATCAATTGGTATTTCTGGCTTCTTGCTTCCTCCAACCTTTGCTCTTCCAGGAGCCAATGGTTATTTTCCAGCTTGGCTGTTCTATCCGCACACATTGACTGGCTTTTTAGAGGAGCAGAGTTCCCGCTTGTTCACTCATTTATTTGCTGTTTGTGTTTATGCACTTGTGACCTTTATCACCAATGTGTCATCTGTGTGGATGTGGATTTCTCTGTCTTCAGTGGTTTTTCATATATCAGGCTCCTTGTTTGTTTTAATCAAGTTTTCTCAGGTTTGTTCAGCGGGAGTCCCTTTTCTTTGGATTTTTTTTCCTTTTGACTAACATTTTCTGAGTGCTTTTGTACTCTGACATGAGACAATGGTTCTTGTTGCTCTTGAGTTTCCCTAAGCCTCAGCCCTAGAATAAGACTCTTTTCTAGGGAGCCAGTGTTTGTCTGAGGTGGAGCAGTGGATTATGGGGCATTGACAGACTTATGAAACCACAGACACATGCATCTGTGTGCATGCATGCACACACACAAACATATACTCTGTAGCAATCAGGAGTCTCCCCCATTGTTAAAAATATTGATTTCTCTGCTTTTGTTTTTCTTCCACTCTGTGAATACTCAGTGACCCATCATACCTCACTCTCCAGTGATGAGAACAGTGACTGACACTCAATGTTTGAGGATAGAGTTTATTGAGACTCAAACCCAGGGCATTGTACAGTCTAGCCAAGCACTCTACCCCTGAGCTATGCCCACAACCCTTAAAGTATGTTTTAATAAGTCAATAACTGAACAAACTTTTATGCTGGGAATTGATCCTCTGTGGAAGAGAACTTAGAAATAAGGTTAAGTGTGGAAACTATGTCCCTCTGCTTCTCCTTGTCTCCTGTCAGTGTACCATGGAGCATCTGTAACATCAGAGGTGATCAGAGGTTTTGGCCATAGATTGCCATCTGTAAAGAGCATGCTTTCTGTTGTGCTGTTCATATGTCTACAATCAGATGCACTTCCACAAGATACCGTGACAATCATTTTCCAAGTTTTACATATTTCATTGTGTTGTACCTTCTAGGTGGCTGGCATCGTGGGCAGAGCTGATGTGTTAGCATGTCTCCTGTTCCTGCTTGCCTTTCTTTCCTACCACAGGTGAGTGAGGATAAACAAACCCTTCTGTGGCTTTGTCACATACTACCACATATACACTAAACCCCTGCATGACCGGAGGGAGGCTGTGGGCTGTAACATGCTCAGTGGGTACTGGGGAGAGAAACCCTCTTTTTATCCACTGATGATCTGTTGTCTTCCAACCCCATTCTGAAGCATTTAATATTCTCCTCTCTCTCCCTCTCCCTCTCCCTCTCCCTCTCCCTCTCCCTCTCCCTCTCCCTCTCCCTCTCCCTCTCTCTCTCTCTCTCTCTCTCTCTCTCTCTCTCTCTCTCTCTCTCTCTCTCTCTCTGTGTGTGTAGTGCTTACACATGCATGTACATGTTCTCATGGAGACAAGAAGCCAATGTTGGTTGTTTTCTTTGATTGTTGTCCAGTGTATCTTTTGAGGCTGGGTCTCCCATAGAACCTGTTGGGAATCTGCCTGTCTCCACTCCCCCAGAGCTGGGATTACAGACGTGGTGTCTACATTTTTCCCCCCGTTTAATGCATGCTAGGGATTGAACTCAGGCCTCCTTCTTATGCAGCAGGCACTTTATGCACTGAACCATTTCCCATCCCTCACATCAGCGTTAAAAGACTATCATTCCCTGTGCCGGGAATCTAAGAGCTTGATTCTTTTGCTTGTTGATCCTGGCTGAGAATGGAACTTTAGCTGTGAACAAAAATAGATGGAGAGTCATGTTTGCAGTGCTCCATTTTACTTGCCTTTGATTTGTTTAATTTACCCTCATTTTGTCCCTGTTTTACCTTTTTCTATTATTCTTACAACAGCCATTCACAGTGACATAACAAGGTTGACTAGAAAGTATTGATTCTTAACTATAGTTTTGTACTTTAGAATCCTTTTGTCAAAATACAGGAAACCTCTTTCTATGACATTGTGCCTTTATCCCCAAAGTGAAGGCATTTTTAACTGACTTGTGACATACCACATGCAGAGAAGAATGAGTCAGAAAGATGTGAGTTGGAATAGAGAGCTCAGGGTGTCTTCCTAAAGATGCCAAGTCAACTCTATCAGCTGACTTCATGGAGAGATAGATGCTGGCTGGGGATTTGTAAACTTGGCTGTTGGATCAATTTGATGACCTGTAACTTACAAAGCCCAGTGACTGACTTTTAAGAACATTGTTCTAAATCAGGGGTATTGAATTATCAACCATTTCCCTTCTTCCTTGAGTATAGTAGCTGCTTTTGCATACCTGTGACCCAAATATCCAAGAGAACAGCCTAAAGGAAGAATTATTTATTTTGGCTCAAAATTTTAGTCATGGTTGGTTGGCCCATGTATACAGACAGAATTGTTTGTCGTGGTGTTTGCACCGCCCATGACCTTGGGTTATATGGCCCAAAGGAGGCTGTGCTTCTTGCCATTGTACGTGAAAGGGAGAGGGGTCTCGGCCCCATGTATCCAGACAGAATGCAAGAGCATGTGGCAGTGAATACTTAACCTCATGGCAGACAGGATATAGAGGGAAGCAATAACAGGTCCGGTGCATGAGATAGCCTCCTCCAAGGACACACTCTCAGTGACTGCTTCCTCCAAGCAAGCCCCACCTCCCTCAGGTCTTCCATCTTCCAGTACTCTCTTCAGACTTTGAATCCATTGATATATTAAAGCACTGATTAGGCCAGAGCCCTTGTGATATCAGTCATCTCGGTTGTCACACTGGAGAAGTGCCACTGGCATCTAGTAGATAGAGAGTCAAAATGCCCCTGGACAGACGCCCTGCAGTACATAAGACAGACCTCACGACAAAGAATCATCTGGCAGGGAAATACCATATGGCAGAGGACACTGGTATAGTCCAGTGGAGGCCTTGGGTCTGGGGTGAGATGCATGGAGCTCCAGGAGATGTTGCTAACAGGAGTGGAGCCGGACTAGTACAGTGTTCATCGCCAGGCCCGAGCTTTGACACTGTCTGCAACATCCTAATCGTGCGAACACTGTTACGACATCTTAAAACTTAAGGTCAGATTTAGTGTTTTCTCTTTGCTCTGGTGTTGGACCAGAATCAATCTATTGATTTAATTTAAAATTTTCTGTTTGGTTGATGTATCTAAGAACATGATGAGCTTTGCAGTGTGCCCCTGTCTGTGTGGGTGTGAGCCAGATCATCACAGGTGATTGATTGTGTGTGCCCTGCTTACCTTTGGAAATTTAAGTTCTGGACCAACCCCATGGAAAAATGTATATTTACCATAAATTTTGCATGTAATTTTATCTAATTCTTCCAAGATGCAATACATAGGAGGAGCTGTCACAATACAGACAGAGTATGGGCACTCCCTTCAAGGGAGAGTGAGCCGGTGACTGTGCACCTATATGAGGAAATAGCCATGTTTCCTAGGACTAGTTCCATTTATAATTTGGAAAATAACATTGAAAACATCTTGAAAATTCCTATATGAAATTATGATCAAAAATAAAGATTACAGGACTTCGGAGATGGTTCAGTAGTTAAGAGCATACACTTCTCTGGCAGAGGACCTGAATGGTTCCCAGCACCCATACTGGGTGGCTCCCAACTGCCTGTAACTCCTGCTTCAGGGGATCTGATGGCCTCTTGTGGCCTCCATAGGCAACTGCATTCACATGTATGCAAAACCACACACAGGCACACACATATATACAAATAATTAATTTTAAAAATTACTCATTATATGTATATTGAAAGTAAATTCAGATAGAGTAGTCAAGAGAAAAGAAAAATGCTTAAAACCTATTGTTCCATCATCAAGAGAAATACTATTTACATATATCTCTCCTGTTTTGTGCATATATGTGTGTAAAAACACTTTGATTTAATCATGGTGATGAGCACTTGACATCTGTCACTTATCCATTCCCTGCCCGATACCATGTTAATTCTCCCATTTCTGAGGAATGGTGTCCTGTTTGCTAACTGCATGTCTGTGGTTTATACCAGGGAATTTGGCTTCTTAGTTCATGCGTATTTGTTAGTAATGTGTGTTATTTGCTTGAAACATATTCACTTAAACATCTTTCTATCTACTAAATCTACCCTTATGTTAGTGTTGGAAATGTCTTTTTAGTGTTCATTCATTATAAACCATATTGCATCATAATTTGCATACTGTAATGTAGTTTTAAGTTGATATTTTTTGGACTTTTTTCCATTTCAACAAAATTTTTAAAAAAATGTGTGCGTGCGTGTGTGTGTGTGTGTGTGTGTGTGTGTGTGTGTGTGTGTGTGTGTGTGTTCCCGAGGAGGCCCAAAGAAGGCATAGGATCTCCTGGAGCTGCAGTTACAGGGGCTTCTGAGCTGCCTGATGAGGGTTCTGGGAATTAAACTCCCTTCCTTTGGCAGAGCATCGAGAGCTCTTAGTCACTGAACCACCTCTCCGTCCCCACCATCTCAACAGTTTTCAGCAGTTGATGGCAAATGCTCTTGGAGGGACCTTTGCTCTCTGCCTTGTTCTACACTAGATGCATCTCTAAAGGTACTGTGTCATAGCAACCCCTGTGTTCACAAGGAAACACCCACTTTGCTTTGCAGGAGTCTGGATCAGGACTGTGCAGGGCAGTGCTTCCCCGCCACGGCTTCTCCCTTCTTCCTGCTGCTCAGCTTGTTTCTGGGGACCTGTGCCATGCTGGTGAAGGAGACGGGCGTCACTGTGTTTGGAGTGTGTTTGGTGTATGACCTCTTCTCCCCCTCCCACCAGCAGGACAAGTCGTAAGTGATTTCCAACCTCGGTGTCCTATTAGTGACTTTTCTTGTTATGATAAACCTGACAACTGTAACTTGAAGGAGGAAGGGTTTTTTTCTGACTCATGGTTTCTAAGACTGCCACATCTGGAATTCAAAGAAGCTGTACTGAATGCCAGTCTGCACCCCTGGTTTGTTTTGCTTGTGTCCTGCTGAGGGAATCCTGATTCACAAAGAAAATCATGTTATGAACGGCAAGTATTAGCAGCTTGTTTTGAGTCCCCAAGTTCTGATGGCTGTTACTCATGAGTGAGCTCCTATCTGCTTGCTCTAGTTGCATAACCTAAGAGCCTTAAGAGGTTGGTGGGAACCAGGTTTGGCTATTCATGTGTACTCACTCACAGGTCATGTCATTTTCCAGTTTAAGAGAAAGCTTATTGAGTACCCCATCTTCCTCTTAAAACTGAAAAGGTTCATTTGTTTTGTGTGTGGATTGTGATGCTCAGAGTGACTGGGGAATATCTGGAGTTCAAGCATGTAGAATTTTCTTCCCTAATCAAACCCATAATTCTTACAGTTTTACATGTAGTCATTAGGAAAACAACAAGTGGCAAATGCTGATGAAATTGTGGAGATAAGAGAATACTTATACACTGCTGGTGGGATTGCAAAGTAACACAGCCACGGTGGAAATCAGTATGGAGGTTACATAAAAACAAACAAACAAACAAGCAAAGATAGATCTATCATATGACCATTTCTGGATATTTACCAGAAAGACTCTAAGTCAGCATACTTAGCACATGGATCTTTAGTACAGCACTAGTTACAACAGCTAGGTATGGAATCGACATAGGTTGTCTATCAACAGAGGACTCTATAAAGTTAATTATATACAAAGGAATTCCGCCATAGAGAAGAAAGAAATTATATCATTTGTAGGAAAATGGGTATATCTGGAGGTCATCATATATGGTGAATTAAGTCAGAAAGACAATTAGCACATATTTTCCTCTCATTTGTGGTTATATAGCTGTATATATATGTATGTATGCATGTAGGATTCCCTTGGAACTGTCTTGGGAATGAAGGGGAGTAAACTGAGAGAAGAGGAAGGTCAGAGGGTATGAGGGAATATGTTAAAGAGCATCATATACTTACATGCAAATATCCTCACGAAACCTAGCAGCACAGTGAATATGTGCCAGTAAAAATAAAACTGAAAAAGGAAAACTGAAATGCAGTTATGCTTATGAAAGTAGGTAGCTGCAAACAGCAGACACGGGGTACTTGGAGACTTGAAAAGCACATCCTTCTAGGTATCTCAGCTAGGCAAGCAAGGGGTGGCTGCTGCTTTGTTACAAGTCTTGTCATTTTGTCTGACTGTTTTTTTCCTCAATTCTGTGAACTATTAGGAGCAATGGGGTGATCTGTCAGCACAGCTCACAGCAGCCAGGGAACCCCCAACCCTCCTCTCAGCATGCCCACCCCCCACCGTGAGAGCAGAAAGCAGCGCTTCTCACACAAAGATTCTTGGGGAGGCTGCCATTCACCACTGCCACCGGAGCCCAAGAGCAGCGGGTTCCCTGTGTCCCCAGGAGCAGTGTGGTCCCTGGTGAGGTAGGTACTGGGCTGGGTTCTCCACCGTACTCCTTTCTTGTGTTGTAATTGCCCAGTGATGCAGCCCAGGGTGTCTGCAGAGCTAAGGTACTGAGTAAGCTCTTTGGGACAGCCTCCTTCCCCCAGGGGTCTTGGCTGTGGGTTGGGGACTTTCATGGTGGGCTGGGAAGTTAGTCTGGAGTGACTGTGAACACCTTGAGGGTGGAAACTTTCTCTGTGTTGTTGGCAGTTGATCCTAAGTTCTTAATGCAGTCTTTGGCTAATAGTTATTTAAATGTTTGTGAGATTAAAAAAAAAAGTGAGCCATAAGAATGGATTGGGATCAACCATAGGAAAAAAAATTCGATAGAACTAGCAATGACATAATGGGAAGAAAAGATGTTAAATAGAAGAATGTTAGGCTTTTGTTTGCATTTTTATTTTAAATTTCATGTGTAGGGTGCAGGCCCATATGTGTGCAGATGAACTATACAGAGAGATGAAAGACAGCAGAGTAGAACACATACAGATGAAAACCCACACGGGTGGCGTGCTCTTATTCTCTGTCTAATAACTGACTCTCCAAAGAGGGTACCTGATTTATGTCTGCTCATTTCCATGTAAATGTTCCCACCACAGCTGATGCTAAGCTGTGCTAAGCTATGCTAAGCTGTGGTATGACATCACTGGCTGTGGAGTCATTGGTGCCTGCCACTCTGCAGTTTCACCAGATGACATAGACATTCAGCATCTCAAGAGCCAGTGCACTGTGTAGTCCAACTAGGAAATGCCCAGAATTGATACTTAATATTTCTTTTGGTGTAGTTTATTTAAGCTTATCTAAGTTGATCTTTAATGATGGCTGACTTTAATAATTGGCTTGCAAGATTCCTAAACAATAAGTCAACTGCTATTCCAATCCACTGTTAGCTCCTGAACACCAAGGGAGCAGGTTCACTATGAAGCTGAAACAAACTTGTTATCTGTTGCCCACCTGCTGTTCACTGGGTAGGGGAGACACTTGCACATCCTACTGCTACTTTATGTCTATCACAGTGTCTGTGCCCATGCTCAAAGGCAGCACATGTAGGAGGCTGGGCTGGGCTGGGTCACTAGATCAGAGCTCTACCACTTGTCAGACTGTAAGTGCAGGATCCCGGTGCGCACTTAGTGCCAGAGTGGAGGTTCCCACTTGGACCAGCTTGTGTGATCCTGGCTCCTTTGTCACTGCTCTGGGTTTGGAATGATTCCTGCAGTCGTCCTTGGGTCCACATGTGAGAACTGGGTGAGAGTTAGGTAACATACTTCTGTAGATTACACTGTTTTTCTATCCAGGACACTGTGTTCTAGAAGTAGACCACATTCTTACCTGGTCAGCCTTCTTGTATGGAAGGATCATTTTCCCTTCTGGGGAAGGAAGGCTGTGATGTTTCATGTATTTGAGTGTAAATGTATTATTAAAATTGGTTTTGGAAACTCTGCTCATACCTTTGTCAGATGTGATTTGGGTAAAGCCACTGAGTTCAAGGAGGCAATGGCATCCTGCCTCTTGAGACCTCTGGCTCTGCAGAGAGGACATTCAACCACAGCTCCTTTGCTTACTCTCTGTTACCCTAAAAGCACCATGCCAGATTGGCTATCAGGACCAAGAGCATCTGTCCTGAACATCAAGAACAAGGAAATTGATGCCTGGAAGCCCATGTTCCTCTGCTATGCGGCAGACCTCTGCATCCTTACTGTCAGTTCTTGTCCTTGCTAGCTTTAACGGCCAACTTGATACAGCCAAAGTCAACCCAAGATGGAAGATTCAGTTGAGGAATTGCTCAGATCAGTTTAGCCTGTAGGCATGTGTGCAGGGAATTGTCTTAATTATTAATTGATGTACGAGGACCTAGTCCAGTGTGAGTGGGACCATTCCTTATCACCTGGTCCTGAGCTGGATAAGAAAGGTGGCATAAGTCTCCTAGGGAGCCGGTGTTCAGCAGAGTTCCCAAATGGTCGGCTTTCATCTCTGGAAGTGTTAGCCAAATAAACCATTTCTCGCACGCTGCTTTTGGTCAGGATGTTTTATCACAGCCCCAAAAGGAGCTTAGCACAGTTCTGCACTGTGAATGCTGTGTTGTGATTGTGTGGGTCTCCGAACGGAAGGGTACAGTCTGAGTGGTGAGCCTGCCATGTGCAGCAGGAAGGGAGATTGGGTGGGAGTTTTCTGGTTTGGTTTAACTTCTAGGATATATATCTCAAGCTGACAAAAGTTGAATCAAGAATTGTCATTTAAAGTGTTGTTTTCAGAAGTTTCCTAATTCAGAGAAAAATACAAACCCAGGAGAAAAGCCTACAGCAAGGCATTGATTTGGTGGCTTGTCTTTGTATGTGATTTCTTATGGGTAAAAGGTAATGTAGTGGTATTTGCTCTGCCCATGACCTTGGGCTCTGTGGCCCAAAGGAGGCGGTGCTTCCTGCCGTTGTATGTGACCTCTTATGAGGAGTTGGAGAGGGGTCACATGCCACTTCTCCCTGCTCCTACCTGTGAGGTGGATTCACTCCCGGTCAGATCAGAGGATAATTTCAGCTGTCTACTCCATTCTGTATTCATGAGTGTATCTCCTCAATTTATATCTTAATAAATTCTGTTACCCATTTAATAGATTCATGTGGATTGATTGCAATAAGGTATAGGGGGAGATGGAGAGCCAAGGGCCCACGCCCTGGAGTCAGATCACAGTTCACTAGTAGAACCATGTACTGAACCACTGTATGTGAAATGCTTTGGTTGCCAACAAACCTCTCATGTCTTAAAGTCATCAAATACACACATGCACATGCACACTTGCATGTGTGTACAGAGGCATACCTTCTCTTTCATGTTAGGAAGCTCAGAGAGTGCTAAAAGAAATCGCATCTTTGTTCTTCCTGTGTATATACCCAGTCAATTCCATAGACAGGCCACAGTGGCCACGATGGGCGCTGAACACAATGGTGTCTTGTACACATCCCCTGCACATGTTCCTTTTCCTTGACACCTGGTGGAGTCATTCTTTCATCCTGATGCACCCTGCTCCTCTTGTGCGTGCTAGACATTATTTTTAGTGCTGAGAACATGGAATTAGTAATGACAGTGACCAAATCAATGCATAATTGAAATTACTTATATTAAAATATGTATTTATTTCATTTAATTTGTATGTGTGTTGGGGGTGTGCACACCACTGAGTATAGAGACCAGAGGACAACTTGTGGGAGTCTGTTCTGTCCTTCCACCATGTGGATCTTGGGTATTGAACTCAAGTTGTCAGGTGTGTATAACATGCCGAAACCTGTTACACCACCTCATTGACCCTGAATTCATTTACCATCGAACAGCTTTAAACCTGTTTATATCTAGGAGGCTATCACTTGGGCTCAGTATTACCTAATACCCTTTTCTGATCTTAGTCCTGTAGACCCCAAGTGTCTTCACAGCTTGTTGATTTCTCTTTAGAGTAGTATATTAACCTGGACTTTTCTGGGCCCCTATACTCTTGTGCTTGGGCCTCAGGATAGGTGATAAATTCTAGTTTGGAGTGGGGAAGGTGAGTTATTATTGCAGGCATCTGTCCTCTTATGGAGAAGGACATGATTTGTTGGGAAAGTTGATTGAGTGATGGTAAAGAAATGCTGAAAAATTTGTGTCTTTATTTACATTTTTGTTGTTGTTTGTGATAGTTTCTCCTTATATAGCAAAGGCTGGCATGAGACTCATGACATAGCCTAGGCTGTCTTTGAACTTGAAATCCTCATGAAATGGCTTTGGAGAAGTCAGGTTACTCTGACCTACACCTCCCCTCCAGAGACACATCCTGCATGACAGACAAATAAGCTTTCTCCCTTCTGAGAAACAATGCTTGTAAAATGTTCAACAGATCAAAGGGTTCCTCCTTCCTTGCTGGTGAATGATGTGTTGTAAAAATGCTTTGGGGCTGAGAGTTCTTTGTGTCAAGAGCCTGTTCTCAGCATCACCGGTTTGAGTAAAGGACTTTTATTTGACCTCATATGCATGGTGGTCTCTAATTTTCTTGGGTGGACTAAGGCACTCCTGCCTCAGCCTCCTGTATGCTGTGATTAGAGGCATGCACCATCATGCCTACCCAGCAAGAAATTTGCTATAAAATAATTTTTAAAAATAAATAAAAATCTTATTTAAAAATATCCCGATGGTATTATGGTCACAAGGCGCATTTAACATGAACTGTGTGTTCACAGACAGTATAAAATTTAAGTTCTTAGTGACTTTGAAGTCATATCTTTCAAATATGAAATTTACCAGAAAAATAATTTTCTTCTGTAGATGGAGAAGAACACAAGGTGTTTTTTTCCTTTTAACTCTTTCCTGTCTGTGAACTGAGAATGGGTAGGAATGGCAAGCAGGCCCAGTGCGTGATACAACAGCAAGTGCCTGGGCAGGCCCAGTGCGTGATGCAGCAGCGAGTGCCTGGGCACATTCCCCCAGAGCTGGTTGACTTCCTGTTCCATCTGGGCTGAGCTCAGTGCAGCACTGGATGGCTTCAACAGACCCTTGGCTGGCTTTATGAGGCTCAGCACAGAAAGCACCTCCCACACACCACACACTCAGGAAGCAGCACTCCTTTAATTTATGGGAGCCATTGGTGCTTTTGGAGGGGCTGACAGTCCTGGCTTCATGCTGCTGTACCCCGACTGGCTGCTGCTTTTCTGTGTCCCCTGTGAATAGCAGTCATAGGCTAATCAGTTCCTTCCCTTCTCAGCATAGAGCCATCAAGCTAGGCATCTGATTCCAAGTGGAGACACAGGGACATATGTTGAAGGAGAGAGCCACCCGGGTGCAGGCATTTCTGGTTGGCACTCACTCCCGTCACCATCACAACGGGCTCTTGGAAGAGGTCTCAGGTTGTCTGATTTTCTAGCAGCCCAACAGACACCATCTGGAATATCCAGCGTCTGGCTTCTATGGTTCAAAGCGTGGCAGCTGTGACTTCAAGGCCACCAACCAGCTCTCTCTTCTT